AAAAAAAAAAAAAAAAAAAAAAAAAAAAAAAAGCGTGAGCAAGTGTCACAGCCGAAGAGGAGCCTAAAGAGATATGATGACTAAAATACAGGGTGGTATTATGGATGAGATACTGGAACAAAATAGGACAACAGGTTAAAGCTAAGGAAATCTGAATAAAATATGGAATTTGGTTAATCTTTATGTGCTGATATTGGTTCATTAATTTTTTTATTTTATTTTTTGGTACCAGGGATCGAACTTGGGTCTTCACGCTTGCGAGGCAGGCGGCAGAACCACTGAGCCAAATCCCCTGCCCTTGGTTCATTAATTTTAACCACACTAACATAAAATGTAAATAAGGGAAACTGGCAGTAGGGTATACAGTATTTCTCTGTATTATCTTTTTAATAACTCATTAAATCTTTTTTTTCTCCGTACTAGGACTTGAACTCAGGACCTTGCGCTTGCCAGGCAGGCACTGCACCGCTGAGCTACAACCGTGGCCCAATTCATTAAATCTAAAACAGCTCTGAAATTTAAAGTTGGGCGGGGGACCCTCCCATGTCCCTGTGCCACTTAGCTGAGCTTTAGTATCAGTTTCCCCACTGTTCTCCCTCCCTCTCACAAGTTCTCCTGGGAGCCGGTAGAGGGCATTTTGAAAAATACAAATCTGACCACATCAGACTTCCTGCAAAATAAAAGCCCTGGATAGAATGTTCCAGAGATACACTGTATCCTAAAAGAACACAGACCAGAGCCTCTGTGAAAGTTACCATTATGAGCCAGAATGAATCTGGGAAATATTTCTGGTATCCGCTGAAATAAAATTACTGTATCCAAAATTTAATGCAGCTCAGCTTTTCCAGGGTCTCCCAGATAAAGCCTGCTTTTCAGAGCTCCAACTCCCAACCTCACCACTCCATTGCGCAGCTAGAGGTTTTCCCTTTATCTCTATACAAACTCCTAGGCTTTAACTCTATACAAACAGAGCCATCCTTTTTCCTGCCCTCTCCCCCAGGCCCAGCTCCAGCCGGACCCTGCACCACCTCCCAAAGAAAGCACTCCGGCCACTCCGGCGGCGGCATGATTGGGCTATGGTATTATTCCTGCTTTTATTTTACTACATGCCATCAAGGAAAATAAGACGACTCTGGCTCTCCTACGCCCAACTCACACTAGGCCGGAGGAAAGGTTTGACGCATTCTAAATGAAAAGATGAATCACCAAATAAACTGATGTTCTAGGGCACAGAACACCTCTCCAGGCTTGCGCCAGAGGGAAAGGAGTGGGAAGCTCTTTACCTGGCTGGGTCCTTGGTTGCTGCAAGGAGTAGGCGGGGCTTTCTCAACACCGCTCAGCCATTGGCTAGTGCAGTCCGCAATGGTCTGATGCAATGCCTCCATTGCCTGGCTGAGCTTGCTCCCCTCGGGTCAAACCCTGGAGCTACGACCATCTTGCAGGGACCCGCGTGTGGTGTGGGACAGGTAGCCTTGTGGGGAGACTGGCCTGTGGGGAGACTGGCCACTGGCGACGGCGCACTAGGATAGCACTGAGACGGACAAAAGACTCAAAGCGACACTCTGAATTTGCTCAGTTTTATTAGGGTCATGAAAATTCACAGGGAGAGGCGGGACTTTTGTGGGAGGGGGTCAGGAATACAGCAAAGGCTAAGCAGCCTAGTGTTGACATCAAAGCCTGGCGAGCTAGCAGGCAAGGCCGTAAGAGAGGAATGTGGAAGGGGAAAATTTGGGCAAACAGGATGGAGGCAGAGCCTCCAAGGCCACTGCGAGGTTACAACGAAGGCCACAACAGCCCTGCCCACTTCAGGATCAGGGTGTCCACTCATTATAGCATGGGGGAAGGGGCTGGGGCCAACACCAAAGAGAAGAGGGCTAAAGGGTCCCTGACCAAGGCATCACAATAAATAGCAGCACACAGAAGCCTGTGGGGAAAGAGGGCCAAATACAGGGAATATCTCCACCCCCAAAATGAGAACTCTTCGATTACTAAACCATAAAAATAAACTTTAAACCCGTGTGCGAAGTCAGTTACACCCCAGGAGTACAATTTGGGGGGGAGGGGGCTGAGGGGAAGGGCAAACAGGGCAGGGGGGGTAAGAGGGATACTGAGAGGAGATGCCTGGGAAAGAGTAGATGTTTATCCAGTTTTCCCCATCTTCTTCATGTTGGGCCAAGCATTTGGAACGTGAAGCACTTGCTCCATGTCAATGTCTTCTGAGTCCATTTCACTTTCCTCCTCCTGGTAGCTGTCCTCGTCTGTGTAGGGGAGAGAAGCAAGGAAGGGAAAATGGTGGAGAGCATTAGATGGGCAGGTAGATGACTCTAAAAGAGAAGAGAACACACAGCCAGGGCTTTTGAGGGCCTGGGACCACTTGCCAAGGGCCTTTGCTTAAAACAAGGCCTCCAGGGTAAGGATGAGTGGGAGACAGGAAGGCAGGGCAGGCTCGCTGCCTTTGTTCTATGAAAATTGATACTTCTCTGAAAGTAGCTATTTTCCTTACTGTATTCCTCAATATGTGTTTCTTCCAGAGCTCAAACCTCAGCTGAATTTCTAGTCACCCCAGGCAGCCCCCTCACTTCTTCCCCCCAATCTGATCCAAACAGGCACCCCTCTGTCTTTTTAAGCACAATTCCCTAACCCACTCTAGAGCTGGGCAGACAGTTCTGCTTCCGATTCTTGGACAGAGAGATGCCATCAGGTGGGAAACAAAAATGACTGACAATCCAGTTTTCCTGCCCGATCTGAAAATGTCTAGATTGAGGCAACTCATTCATTCAACAGCTTTATCCTTGGTACCCTGTCCCTGCCCTCAGTGGAAGTCTGTTAGGGACCCCATAGCCAGAAACTCCAGGAATGACTGATGTTTGTCACTTCCACCTCCCTAATGGGCCCACCTCACTTTCTCCTCAAAACCCCTGCACGTAATCCTTTCTTTGCATTTCCCAATGGGCATTCTTTGGTGAGGAGTGAACACTGGCTTGTGGTCATGAAATTTAGGAAATGCTGGGTTCTACAAATTGAAATAGGGTTTTTAGAGCAAGACTTCTCAAAGCCTTTAAGGAGTCAATGTACATGTGATTCTAAAAGAGGTATGTTGCTGTTGTTGTTGCTGTTATTCTTTGAGACAGGGCCTTACTGTGTAGTTCAGGCTGATCTTGAACTCACTATGTAGCCCAGGCTGGCCTTGAACTTGTGGTGATCCTCCTGCCTCAGCTTCCCAAGCGTTGGGATTACAGGTGTGTACCACCACGTCCAGCTACAAGAAGTATTATTACATGCAGTATTTCTGCAATGTTTTTGACCACCACACTCTTCTGTAAGAAACAGCTTTCAGAACTGGTAAACTATCCTCAGGACACAATTTTGGAAACCTTGCCCAAAATGCTATGTGTTTTCACCCTTCCAGGTCCCTTGCCACATTCTCCGTTCCACTGAGTATGGCCCATGGTACTTCTCAGTGGGAATGTAGCTTCTAATTAATTCAAAGTTCACTCTCTTTCTCTAGCTCTCTCCTTACCTTCCCAACTCTTGATGCAGAATTAGTTGGTCTGTCTATCCTCTGGGCTCACAGAGTATTCTTTTAACTTCACACAGCTAGAAGTTGGGAGTTGCTAGAAGGCCAGGGCTGAGTACATTGTATGTTGAATGTGTCACTTTCCCCTCTGTATATATGTGCCTTTTTTAGTTTTCCACTCACTGTGTCCTATCTCCTATCCACTCTTCACTTAGAACTGCACCATTTCTTTACCTTTGCTACATTTTTAAATGTTTTCTGGCCTTCCACTGTTTAAAAAGAATGCTTTCTCTTTTCTCCATAAGAAGACTGTGTTCATGTCTGAATTACCTGTACCAGGCTTTCTCTGAAAAAAAAAAGAGAATGAGGGAAGGTAAAGAGGGGTCTTGCTCACCTTCCTCTTCCTCCATTGGTTCATCAGAGATGATCTCTATCTCATCGTCATAGCTTTCCTGGTAGGTGCTATTATCTTGATCCTTGTCAAAGACTACCATGTCATTCTTATAGTATTCAATGTCTCTGTCATCGTCATCATCATCATCATCATCGCTTCCCTCATTGTCACCCTCATTGCCATCATCATAACTGCTCTCATTGTCACCTTCACTACCATCATCTTCATCACTGCTCTCATCTCCAATGTCACTCTCCATGCTATCTTGGTTATTACCACTGCTGCCCTGGTTAATGTCTCCCAGGCTATTGTTGTCACTGTCAGGATTATTGTTGGGATACTCAATGTCATAGGTATTCTTGTCTTCTGGGTTCTCATTGTCATCAACACTCTCGTCAGTGGTCTCAATGTCATCAGTACTGTCACTGATAGTGATCGTGTTGCTGAGGCTCTCATTGTAGTCAGGGCTCTCGCTGTCACACAGGCTCTCATTGATGTCAGTTATCTCATTGTCAGTGGTCTCGAAGTAGTCAGTGGTATCCATGAAGTCAGAGATCTTGATGTCATGAATGGTCTCATTGTCAGTAGACTCGTCAATGTCTGAGATCTCGCTGAGAATGTCTTCCATGGCATAATGGTCATAAGCATCTTCCATGATTACCATCTCATATTCCTCCTTGGCTTTACTGTAGGGAAATTTAGAACTGAGTGTGGGGTTAGTAGGAGGCCCAGGGAAAACACTGAAAGGTGGCAAGTAACTGGGGAGGCTGAGGTCTACAAGGGTTCCTAGGGATGAGGGTAAGGTAGGAGAGCCCCATTTTTGCCCCTGGCCTACACTTGTAACCTCAGGCCATTTTTCCTCACTTGTAAAACACTGCACTCAGTTATCTCAAAGGGCCCTTGTGGCTCTATGAATCCTGCTACTAGCCTAGTCTGTGCCCCACCTCCAACAAACTACTTCTCAGCTACCAATTTTTCCCATCACCTTTCTTTCTCTTCTTGCTTCTTTCCGTTTCCCCTGATGTCCCCATCTCTCATGTAGTAGCGTAGAGGGTTAACCCACAAATCATTCTTGATAATCTGTTGAAAAAGAAAAGGAAGGATAGAACCACGAATGTAAGTCTCAGACCCTATTCCCAATTCCCCAGACACCAAGGGAAAGCCTAACAAGGCCTTTTCTGGCAATACCAGAAAGTAGCCTTACCTCAGCAATCCTGTCAGCTTCTGGAACGCTGTGGTTTGAGAACCAGCTAAAGAAGCTATGGTTGGCGTCCTGGTTCCTGCGACCCTGTGCCTGGGGTTCCTGGCCCCGATGCCAGCGGATTGGAGTGGAGTGAGATACTAGCCGGCCTAGGGACAGAGGAAGTCATGAAGAGGACACTGGCAGGGCTGGAGATTTAGCTCAGTGGTGCTGCCACCTGCCTCAAAAGCTCAAGGTCCTGAGTTTGATACTCACTACCAAAAAAAAAAAAAAGTGGAGACTGGCTAGTGATGGAGGGACATGGATTTATCCTGGACTGCCACTTACCTGAGCGGCTGCATTGGAACTCCTTGACAATCACTGTGTTTGTGAAGTAAGGATTTGTCCGGAAGTATAGCTTCATTTTGTAGCCCATGGAGATATGTCTGAGATCCTGTACCTGCTCAAGATGGGGGTAATGATGGGACCTACCCACACCATGGCCCCTCCTACCCTCCTCACCTCAAAGAACCAGATTCTTTGGCCTTCCTCTTTGGCCTGACCTGAAGATTGGTCAAGTAGCGGAAAATGTCTTCATCACGTTGGCTGATCAAAACTGAAATTCTGGGGTGGTTGAGGAACTGATGAGTGGAGCAGTTTAGGTCAAGGATTAACTGTTCAATGAAAAGGAAGGGAAGTCCAGGCAGGGCACAGCAAGAGAGGCTGGAACAGGAGGATTCCTTCTGTGTTAATGTATATGGAGCAAGTGGGTTATGGGCTATGACTTGTACTTGTATTGCCATGACACATCTATGTGGTCAGACTGTGCATGCAAAATTAAACCTCTGTGTTAGGTGGTTTTTATTTCCTGTGTCTATGTCCATATGATTTTTGTTTCTAGGTGCTGAGGGTTTGTATTCACTTTAGTGTGCCTGGGAGCTGAAGGCCCTGTGTCTAAATGCTGCTGTATCTGTTGCTGAGGGCCTATAGTCACATGATATTATATATGTAGTGGTGAGTGAATAGCTCTGAAGGTCTGCTGAGGACCCATGGTCATATAATACTGTGTCTGCATAAGTCTTGTGTCTACGTGATACTTTGTGCCTAGGTACTGAGGGCCTGTGATCTTATGCTACTTTATACCAGGGTATCCATGTAATTCTGCTGAGATATTAAACCTATGTGTTAACATGCTATACATATTTAGGTATATTCCTCTGGGATGTGCTTAACAATTACCAATAGTGAATGGGATTTCTCCTATTCTCTTTCCTTCATTTAACTCCTTGCCCTCCATACCTGGGTGTTCTTTCTCTCTCTTTTTTTTTTTTTTTTTTTTTTTTTTTTTTTTTGGTACCGGGGACTGAACTCAGGACCTTGCATTTGCAAGGCAGGCACAGTGCCACTGAGCTAAATCTCCAGCCCAAGGTATTCTTTCTCTTGACTCTTCAGAGGCTCCAGCACTTCTCTAGCCCCCATTCCTCTAATGGAGAGCACTTCAGCCAGGACTGCGATCTCCTAGTGCCCACGCAGAGCCCTGCGTAGCTTAAGTACACAGTTGGGCAGTTTCTCTGCTGTGTGCTTTTCTCCTCCCACCTCACTGTCTGAGTCAGTTCATCTTCTATATGCCCTTCCTTTCCTTCTTTCGCCATCTCTGGTACAATTTTCTGCTGCGTGCCACCTCTATTACCTTCCTCCTTTTCATTGTGAGCCATTTTTTTTGTTGTTGTTATGTTCTTCTCACCTTTCCCATCTGAGGTCAGATTTTTAGGCCGTGTGCCCACCCCCCGGCCCCCTTCATCATCTCCAGTCCAGCTTCTCTGCTGTTTTGCCCTCCTCTTTCCATCCCTCTTCCACCCAATCTAGCCCGTCTTCCCACAGAGGGCTCGCCTCATCGTTGCCCCTCCCCAACACCCTCACTGTCCCTCCCCCCACCTCTCCCTTTCTGTCATGGGTTTGTGGCCCATGAGTACCGATGAGAAGGATACTGCTTTGACCCAGAAGCCTGGGATATGCTGGATGATGAGATCTCTGCGCTCCAGGAAGGGACGTCGCATCTGGATGAACTTGCGCTTGAGACGCAGGAAGGCCTTGCCTGCTTTGATGTTGACGGCTTCCAGGTCCATCTGAATGCTCTCCAGCGCCTGCAGGATACTTTCCATCCTCTCAGCATTTCTTTCTTTGCTTTCCTTCTTCACCTTCCTCTGCTTCCTCCTCCTCCGTCTCCGCCTCCTCCTCACACTTTCCTTTTCATCCTCATCATCATCTTCCACTATGATGACAGCCTCTTCATGCCTCTTTGGACCCACTAATATCTGGGGGCCCCACACCTCTGAGCTACAGGTTTCTAGGGCCTTCTCTTCAGCAAGACTGCTGGCCTCTGAAACCTGAATGTCAATTTCCAGGCTTTCCCCAGAGATTTCGGAGGGGAGTGTTTCCAGGCTCCCTGTGGGAAGGGGCACCTCCCCGTACCCATACCCCGAATCAATGGCGGGATCCCAGCCGGGCCCCCCTGCACCCAAGGTGAAGTATGCGCGGATCCCTCCCTCCTCGAGAATGACATAGGGTGGAGGTGGGGGCAGCGCCGGGCCCAGTCCCACCCCCCTCATGTCAGCCAGCACCTGTGCCGCCTCGGTTTCCTCCCGGAGCCTCGGACGTTGCTGGGGTGGAGGCAGGGGCAATCGCAGGAGCGGCGGCGGCGGCGGCGGCTGATGATACTGAGAGGGCTCAGAAGTGCTCAGGCGGCGGGTCTTGGCAGGAGGACCTTCATCCGGGCGGTCCATGATTATCGCTCTCAGAAAGCTCAGGGGATTGCACTCGCTCCTTCGCTTTCCGCAGTCGCTACCAGTCACACCTGAAAGGCAGCTGCGTACCCTCACAGGACCAGCTCGCCTCACTGCCTCGCTCTGGAGTTCCCTCCCACAGCGCCTGCCCTACTCCCTCCGCGCCAATCGCCAAAGCCCCGCCCACTCTGACGCAAGGGGCCTGCTCTGCTTCACCATTGGCTGCCGGCAGCCGCGGCGGCGCTTGCGCCCCTCAGACCCCTTCCTTTTCTCACGCAACCCGCTTGCCAACACACACGTCATCACTTTCCGATTGGCTCCCCTTGCACCCCCCCCAGCGACGAGAGGAAAACTGCCAGGCAATTGGTTGCAAAGAAAGCTAGGGAGAGAAGCTTTCTCTCTCATTCTTGCAACGTTTTATCCAATGGGAAAAGTACTAGCCGTTCTGAAGACCAGAAAAGACGAAAAACAAACGCAGGCACTGAGCAGGTTGTGCTCAAAATCGAGGAGCCTCGCTCTCGTTTCCCCCACCCCCTTCTCCCAAGCAACTACGCACTTCTTAAATCTGCCCCTTCCCCCCACCTCCTGTTTCTGCCTCAGGGGTGAACTCCGCTATTCCTTCTCAGAACCCCGGCTGGCCTGGCGCCAGCAATTTAGGCACCCTGGGTCTTTGGTATGCGGGCCAGATTTTAAGGTGGCGTTTTCTATCTCTATAAAAATGGCTCTAGAGATAATCACACACACAAAAAAAAAAACTTAATGTGCGTCATAAAATGATTGAGTCATTCTGCTCATCTTCTAGCTTTTTCTAGGGCTTTCTATCTCTTCTACTAAATATTTCTTAAATTTATCTGCTTTTAATCGTATTTTAAGTGGGGTTTTTTGCTTGTTTTACGTTTTGTTTTTTATGATTAGAGATGGATGGTCCTGGGTGAGTCATAATGGTGGAGGTCTGGCTTTGGTTCTGGAATTCACATCAATGGGTGTTCTCCTCACCCTAACCAAATCAGTGCTCCTCTTTGAGCTTGTTTCCTCTCCTATATTAGGTATCCCTAAAAGAAGTGTAGGTAACTGTCCATTGCAGCCTTGTTGTACCAGAGATTTAGAGGGAACCTAGGAATTCATCACCAGGGGGATGGATAAGAAAAATGTAATATATGTTTTAGGATGGATTGCTAGAATGAATTAGGTCTATATACGGCAACATGGCTGGATCTCTCAAAAACAATACTGAGTAAAAAACAAGATTTATGGTACAATACTGTTTATGTAAATTAAAAGATACAGTACCATATATTTTTCACAGATACACGTGTAAATAAATACATGAACAGTGGATTGGAAGGACATATGTTAAATACGAAAGAGAAAGTGCCTATGTGGGGTGTGAAAGGATGGAATAGGGGACGGGTGATGAAGGGTACAAAATGAAACAACAAAGAATAAAAGGGCCTTGCATGGACCAATGATGATATAATGTGCTAAGAACTGAGGACTATGGTCAACTCAGTTCTGTACCCCCGAGAGAATTAAGTAAAGAAGTAGTAAATTGAGTGCCCAGGAAGTAGGACAACTGAGTATGTTCCCAGACTTGAGATTTTTTTGTTTTGTTTTGTTTGTTTGTTTGTTTTGCCATGACATCACTTTATCTGAATTTAGTCAAAGCTGACCAAAATCCCAGCTGTATACAGTGGACCCTTAGGAAAGGCTCCTGCCCAGAATGAGCAGTTCCTCCAGAAACAATACCTTTGTGAGGGCACTTTCTATCCCCATCAGTTCCCATAAGGTTTGAACCTCAATTAGTCCCCATTCTCCATGATGGTCCAATTTCAAGAACACATTGTTTGAGTTTGGGCGAGGGGACTAAAGTCTCTCAGGACAAGGCAAAAAAGATGAGGTTCTCAAGTATCCTGACTTCCTTTCCCCATAGTCAGAGCGTGAACCAAAGGAAGACGATCTTCTGAGGTGGGAGTCAATCCTCTTGTTACGTACATACATATAATTTCCAGACTCTGTCTCCTGAATACCCCACTGCCTGCACCAGCAGTACTCTAGTTTGTCTCCTCTCAACAAGATGTGTGTGTGCGTGCTATGTCTCCACATACAGACATTTGCTTATGTGTGCACCAGATAAGTTTTCCTTAAGGGTGTCTCACCACACGAAGTCTCACAGACGTACACTATCTCACACAATTATACTTTCCTACATGTGGTCATACAGACAGGACACACGTGCACATGTGCACACACACACAGAAAATAAAACGTCCAATATAACATTGTTCATTTTAGTTTTTCCATTTACAAAATCCAATGGTGAATCCAGGCGGTTAGAAAAAAGAAATGGAGGAAAACCCTCCTGAGTGTACCCTATTTGCCCCCCACCCCTTGGTCTCCCCACCCCAACCCCTCAGAAAGGCACCCCCATCACTATCACTGAGAGAACACATACCCCAACCCTGACCTCTCAGCCACTCTGGCCTGCCTTTCCAGGGACACTCCACAGCCAGGCTCCTTAATTTTCTCCTGCCTAGAGTGCCCTCCTCAATCCCTTTGGGTCAAGGCTTCCCCAGTTCAGGGGCTGTCTTGGATTAGGGGAGGGATCTTAGGACACCTCTCAGCCTCTGGCCTGCCTTTCCAGGGACACTCCACAGCCAGGCTCCTTAATTTTCTCCTGCCTAGAGTGCCCTCCTCAATCCCTTTGGGTCAAGGCTTCCCCAGTTCAGGGGCTGTCTTGGATTAGGGGAGGGATCTTAGGACAGGGGCTTCTACAAGGAAGAAAAAAGGGGATATAGATAAATACAGATAGGTCCTGTTCCCAGAACAAATGAGAAACGGACAGAGAGCCTGGGCAAATCCAGGCAAAAGAGTGCCAGCTTGGCTCACCAATCCTCAGAACTGGCCTTGAAGTAAGATCAGAGTAGATTCTGCCCCTGGGAGGGAGGCCTGGGATCGTTCACCTGGGGAATCTGGCTGCAATCTGTTCCACTTTTGAGTGTAGATAAGGTTGGTGGGAGGAAGGGTGTTTGGGATTGAGAGCCTAGGAGACCATGGACTCTTAAGGAAGGGCTTGAGGCCCCTGAGGTTTGAGAGGGACAAAAAGAGGTCAGATAGGAATGGACTCAAGTTCATAGTGCCTTGGAGTTTGTACCATGATCAGTTATCAAGGCCTCAAAAGAATTTTCATCTTCAGAAAATTAGTGTGAACCCAGGAGACAATTCTTGGGTTGAATTTAGCTCTGATCCCAGGCTCTGGGGTTCAGCTTCCTTCTTACACTTCCTTGCAGGGTATCTCCTGCCTGCAGGACACCCATATCAGCTCTAGTGGGGCTGGAGTGGATTCCCATCCTCAAGAAGGAGAGATAGCAGCTGGGGGTTCAGGAGGCAGTGCGAGAGAATGTAGCCAAGATTGCTCTCTTGAGCTTGAGCAGTTGAGCTCACATCCTGCTCTTCACCTAGCCTGGGCCCATACTGGGGGCCCTTCTCCCTACCCTCTTGGCTTCTCAAACAGATCCCCAAGAAACACTTGGAAGGTCTGGACACGGTGGGGAGGGAGAGAAAACTGGGCTTGGGATCAGGCCTAGCCCAAAACAGCACTTCATACAACACAGCAATTAATCATCCTTGTTCCCTGTGAGTCCAGTCCCCTCTTTTGCCCCTGTTATCAGCAGAATCAATTTATCCCTAAACATCCATCCAGGCTCTACTTCAAGGACTTTTAAAGGGAAGGGGCCTGGGAGCAGAGGGAGCAATAAAAGCTCTGGCAATCTATTTTACAGGACAAACTTCCTCCTCTGGACAATCTGAGGAGAGACATATGAATCAAGGAAAGCCTGTCTCCTCAGATGTTAGTAGAAAAAACTTGCATTTTGAGTTTTGTTTTCTTTTTCTAAAGTCATTTGAGAGAAGGGGGAGGAAGGGAGGAAGAGAGCAGGGGGAGGGAGGGAGAGAAAATATGGGAGTGTAGAAGTGGAGAAGGAGGCTGTGGAGACAGGCCCCACAAAACTAGAAATGCCTCTTTCCCAGTTTTCCATCCAGTCCCCCAACCTGGGGAGGTGTTGGCAAAAGTGCCTAGATTATACTTGGTTTGAAAGCTGAGGCTGGAGCTCAGAAAAAAAAGGCTTCTGTATGGGGCCCAACCCTTCCCTTACTGTTGGTCCCATCACGGAGGCCATGACCATTTCCCTGCTTATTTGCCTACGAGCCTGCTTCACATGACACAGTAGGGTTCTCTGGGAGCTGGGGCACCTCCTGTGCCCCAGCAAGGGGCATGAGTCCTCAGGCACTTCTTGAGGTCCTTGTTGAGCAGGAAGCAGACGATTGGGTTGACAGCAGCCTGGGCGAAGCTCATCCAAACAGCAGTGGCCAGGTAGCGGTGGGGCACGGCACAGGCTTTCACAAACACTCGCCAGTAACAGGCCACAATGTACGGTGACCAGAGGAGCAGGAAGAGCAGTGTGATTGCGTAGAACATGCGGCCCAGCTGCTTTTCACCCTTGACCTCGTCCATGCCCAGGAGCCTCCGGCTGCCTGTGTGCCCATTCTGCCGGATACCCAGCAAGGTTGGTGGCATGGGCCCGCGGCCAAAGCCAGCGATCCAGTTGGCAGCAGCCTGGCCGGTGGCCCCAGGACCATGGAATGTCCAGTTCTGGCTGATGGCTGGCACCATCTGCACTGGCTTCATCTTGCGGTGACGATACTCAAAGAGGAGCAGCTTGCCATAGACAGCATGTGTGGCTGCCATGAGCACAGCCAACATAAGCATGAAGCCCAGAGTGTCATTGGCCTTGAAGTATCGATGCTCAAAGATGCACTGGTCCTCCTCCCGGATAAACTTGTAGGTGCCCACATCAAAGACAGGTGGGAAGGCCATGGCCACAGACAGGGTCCAGGCCATGCAGATAACAGCTGCGCATGTCCAGAGTGTCATGCGCTTGGTGTAGAAGCGGTGGTGTGCGATGGCCATGTAGCGGGTGACGCTGATGCAGAAGAGCATGAAGGCTGCATGGAAGCAAAACAGCACGGCCATAAAGGCCACAATTTTACAGCTGAGTGCACTGAATGTCCATGAGGAGCCGTGGCGCACAGAAGCCAGCACAAAGGGGAAGCAGACGGCAGAGCGTATGCCATCAGCTAGGCACAGGTCCAACAAAAAGTAGTAAGGAGCTTTGTGCAGGGCACGCTCCTTGAGCACTAGCAGGGACAAAATGGCATTGCCCCCCAGGCTCACACACATGATCAGTCCCAACAGCACCAGCTTCACATAAGCTGATGCTGACGGTGGGGACAATGCGCCGCTCACCTCCTCTGGCTCTCCGGTGGTGTTGGCCATACTGAGGGGCAAGGGCCACTTCCAACCCTACAGGGTGAGCCAGTCTGGTACTCGATGGGTCCTGAGGGACTCCATCAGTTGTCCTGCTGGGCTGTACCTGCAAATATGGACAAGGGGGAAAATACAGACACAGAGAGACAGAGAGATGAGGGCAGGAGAGAGACAAAGAGAAAAATAAACACAGACACTGCAGAGACAGTGTGGGAAAGAAAGAAAAATGGCAACAAAGATGTAAATGGACAGAAAATGATACAAATGGACAGGATGAACAAGAATGATAAGAGAGTGATAAGAGACACAGAGAGAGAGAGTGTGTTAAGAGACAATGAGAAGCAGATGGAAAGAAAAGTGAGGAAGAAATAGAAAGGGAAGGGTTAGTGTGTCTATGAGCACCCCCCCCCACTGACTCCCCAGCTAGGGTCAGACCCTAAACCTGGTTTACTCTTGCTCCTACTCCCTCCTTGCTGGGTATGGATGCTTCATCTCTCTGGATGTCTTTGGTTACCTATTTCCTCTGTTGATGAATTACATGGGTGGGGTTATTGGTGCAGCTCTTCTCCCCCCTTGCAAATCCCTAAGACATTTTACATCACAACTCAGTACACATATGCATGCGCGCGCGCGCACACACACACACACACACACACATCTCAATCCAAAATTTCAAAAACAGCACTGATCTTATGTGTAATGTACCCAAATTCTGTGAATTCCTCAAATTGATTTTTTAATTCATGATCAGGAACATGCTTCCCATATTCAAGGAACAGTGAGATTAGTGTTACTGAAATGGCATGAGCAAGGGGAACAGTGGTAGGTGAGGTCAGAGGTGTCCACAGCCAGACTGTGGGTCGTGATGAGGATGTTGGTTTTTATTTTGAGTGATATGGGGAGCATGTGTGAATATAAAGATGTATGTATGCTCATTCATTCACTGAAAAAAAAAGATTTATTGAACATCGGCTGTGTGCCAGGTATTGTTCTAGGTACTGAGAATCCAGCTATGGATAAAAATCCCTGCCCATGTGAAGCTGACATTCTAGGAAATAAAAAGAGACATATGTGAAGTGAGTATGTCAGATGATGACAAGTTCTTAGAATAAACATAAAAGAGGGAAGGGGGATAGGGAGTGCTAGGTATGGGGAAGGTGTTGCAGTTTTCACTGCAGTAGACAGGGTGGGCTTCATGGAGGATTATTATCTGAGCAAAAACCTGAAGGAGGTAAGAGTGAGTCGTGTGGCTATTTGGGGGAAGGCAAGTCTGGGCAGGGGAAGTAGCCAGAGCAAAAACCCTTAGGTAGGACTATGCATAGCACATTTGAGAAAGATCAAGGAAGCCACAGAGAGCAAACAGAGTGAGCGAAGGGCAAGGGCTGAGGGCTGAGATCAGAAAGGTGGCAAGGACAGATCTCAGAGACCATAGTGAAGACTTTGACTTGGAATGAGATGGGAGTCTTGGGAGGGTTCTGAGCAGAGGCAAGACATTGTATGATTTAGAACTGAACAGGATCCCGCTTGCTACTGTGGAAACCGATCATATCACACAAAGGTAGAAGTGGAGGGACTATCAGAAGGTTCCCGCAACAGTGTAGGCAAAAAGTCACTCCATGCCCCTTTCTCTCATGTTTCTGTCTAGAATGTCTCTCTTCTAATACACTTTATAATTTGCTTTAATATTTTTTATTCTTGTCTGCCTTGTGTTATTAGAAAGAAAGCTTCCTCTGACCATCCTCAGTGGAGGAAAGATAGCCTCTTTAATAAATAGTGTTGGAAAAACTGGATTTCAACCTGCCACAGATTAAAACTAGACCCTTATATTTCACCGTGCACTAAATTAAAATCCAAATGGATTAAAGATCTAAATATTAAAACAGAAACATTAAACTTGCTGGAAGGTAAGTTAGGCAGAACTCTGGAAGACACTGGCATAGGAAAAGACTTTATGAACAAATCCTCAGTAGCACGGGAACTAGCAAATAGAATCAACAACTGGGATCTCATCTTACTAAAAAGCTTCTGTGCTTCAAAAGAAACCATCAGCAGAACTAAGAGACAACCTACAATGTGGGAAAAAATTTTTACCAGCTGTTCCTCAGACAAAGGACTATTATCAAGAATATATAAAGAACTCAAAACAATCAGCCCCCCCAAATATAAAGACCCGATTCAAAAATGGGCATCCGAAATGAGGATTTATCAGACACAGAAGTCAAAGCAGCAAGTAAATATATGAAAAAATGTTGCACATCACTGATCATTTGAGAGATGCAGATGAAAACAACACTGAGATTCCACCTCGCCCCACAAAGAATGGCTGCTATAAAAAAATCACACAATAACAAATGTTGGCGGAGTTGTGGGGAGAAAGGAACCCTTCTCCATTGTTGATGGGAGTGCAGATTGGTGCAACCACTATGGAAATCAATATGGAGATACCTCAAAGAGCTTGGACTGGAGGTTCCATTTGACCCAGCCATCCCTCTGCTGGGTATCTTTCCAAAAGAACTAAAAGAATCATATCACAGAGAAGTATGTGCACCCATGTTTATAGTGGCACAGTTTGTAATAGCTAAAACTTGGAAACAGCCTATTTGCCCATCAATTGGAAACTGGATAAAGAAGTTGTGGTTTTTCTATAAAATGGAATATTACTCAGCCATAAAGAACGAGAAAATAGATTCATTCATAGGAAAATGGATACATATTGAAGATATACTCCTAAGTGAAATAAATAAGTCACACATGTGTAAATACTGAATAGTTTACCTGGTGTAAATAATCTGCAACAATGCATAAGATTCTAATAAGATTACTGACATTTAGAAATGGGAAGAAAGGAGCTAAAGGTGTAGGGAAAGTTGGACGGGTAGGGGTAGAGTAAAAAGTGAAAAGAAAAAAATGTGAGATAATGAAAAGATGGAAATAAAGTGGTTGTAGATGGGGAGGGGAGGAGGGGTTGAAGGGAGGGCAGAGGTAAGGGGAAAAAATGAGAACCAAGACTTGTCATATAGAGGTACAAGATCCCAACAATGAATGTAACTGTACTGTATCCCTAAAATGTACCAATAAACTCAATTAAGTTGGAAAAAAAAAGAAAGAAAGCTTCCTAAGGGCCTGGATTGTAGACTCACTCACTTTTCTCTAAAAGAGCAGGATAGAGCAGATGGTAGGCTGTCGATGGAAAGATCTCAAGTTAACTGATCGATGAACCAAATGCACTGGTAGCTAACGAAGGCTCCCTGGAGACATCCAGGCAGACTTTGTTCAAAGAGAGGCCTGAGGAGTGTGTATAGAGTGCAGTGAGAGCAGCACAACAAAGCTCAGGGAAACAGAAGGCTTGGTGTGTGCAGGCTGGGAGTGCAGGGACGTGATAAGGTGCAGGTCCCAGAAGGAAGGCAGCAAGGCTACTTGGGCAGAAGCTGGAGAAGCTCAGCATTATTGTGGAGGCCAGAGCTTGTCTGGGCTGGAGCTTGAGTAGATGTCTTCGTGCCCTTGTTCTTCCAGTCACAGGGGTCCCCTCTGCACTGTTTTGCAGCCCAAACCAACCTGGCCTGCACAGTCACCTGGAGCTGATGGCACTGTGAAGTCTCAGAGCCAGTAGCCTACTGGCATGAGAATGTCCTGGGCAGGAGAGAAGTGGGGCCAAGGGCCCCTTTCAATTCTTCAAAGCCTAGTGGCACCTGGTGGCTCTCAGTGGCATATGTGTAAACGAGCATACACAGACATACACACACATTTTAGCTTTGAGGGTAGGCAAGGGGAAAGGTATAGAAAAAGACTGAATGTAAGAGAAAGAGAGACGCACAGAGACAGAAGGAAAGGTGTGTGTGTGTGTGTGTGTGTGTGTGTGTGTCAGAGAGAGAGAGAGAGAATGAGAGACAGAGAGGGAGACAGAGATAGAGTCAGACAGGAGGGGAAAAGACAGAAACAGAAACAGAAAGAAGAGAGAGGAAGAGATAGAAATAGAGACAAAAGGGGAAAGAAGACTGACAAAAAAGACTCAGACAGCACAATGGAGAAATGAAAGTAATAGAGACAGGGATAGAGAGAGAAAGGTAGAAAAAGGGACAGGGAACTCCATTTCCAGATAGTAAACAGGCATTATAAATATGTTTAAAAAGCACACTGGGTTTGAGAAGGCCGTGGATTGCTCATATACACAAACACTCAGACTAGAAAGATCTAGATGACCGGGGGAGGGAGGAGATGAGGGTGACGCTGGGGAGTGAGAGACAGAGAAGGAGCTGGAGAGCGACAGGCAGAAGCAGAAACAAAGATGGAGACAGAGAGGAAGACAGAGAGAAACACTGAGATGGAGAAGGTGAATAATGTGTAGCCCAGAGTCTCTATTAAAACAAAAGCATAAAAAACCCCCACAAACAACAAAACAAAACAATTTCTTCTAACGCAAATGATAGCAAATGAACAAAGCCCTGGTGTTGCCGGGAAAGCTAGGGAGACTGTTTGTGTCTGTGTTCCTAAGCACAGACTGACGGCGACAGCTGGGGCTCAGCTGAGGCTAAGGATGGGTGTGCGTGGTGGACAGAACACGCCTGATAGTGCCCATACCCTTGTGCACGGGTCTGCACACTCACAGACCCCCTCAGATTGCCTAATGCTATGGAGACCTAAGACCAATTAGCTCACACATGGGGTGCGCACGCCCACACACACAAAAGGAGGTGGAGGTAGGTTTTGTACTCTGCCTTTGAAAGAGGTACACAATGTACTCTGTTGAAGCACCAGTGCTTTGTCCTCATTAAAAGCATTGCTGTCCCCAGGAGATCATTTGGACATTTGTAGGAACATTTTTGATTGCCACAAGTCTGGGGTGTAGGGTGTCCTAACATTTAGGTTTCCAGGGTGAGATGCTTACCACCCAGTGTCAGGTGGGGCAGTCCCACACCACAAACAAATGTCCCGAATCCCCTAGGACTTTGAATTTATAATAAATGGGAAAAAAATATTTGTAAAATCTTATCCGAAAGCCTCTTCCTGTCATTTTCCTGTACTTCTTGTGTCTCATTTTTCCCCTTCTGCTAAATCCATATTTATTATAAGGCCTTATAAGCCTCTGATTACTTTCTTAAATCTGGA